AAAAAAAAAAAAAAGAATATTTGGATGTGCATACCAGCAAATAGCAGACAATTTATTTAGTACTAACGGAAAAGACAAAAACCACATCATTGCAGATTAAATTGAAGAGCGATTGGGTTTCGACTATATGGTTGTATAAATTTAAATTACGTCATAGAACATAATATCGTATCATAAATGGAACATCCCATGATTTCTCAGTCGAATTATTTGAAGATTCAGGAATTTATCCAGTGACGTTATAAGGTATTTCTCCCGCCTTCTTAGCGTGCTTTCGTGGTGTAGTGGTATGTATGCTCAATGCGTATTCGAGAGGTCCGTGGTTCGATTTTCGGCGAGGGCACTGTTCATTTTGCAATTTCCCTGCTTCCAAAAAAATACCTAATGTGTCTACAGTGGCGCCCCAACTAAAAAGTGGTGAATGATGATTTGGGTCCCCTAATCCCTGGGATTTGGGTCCCCCCAGGATTTGAGTCCCCTAATCCCCAGTCTCCCTTTAAAAGGGGGGAGTATATAAGGTATTCTCCCGCCTTCTTAGCGTGCTTTCGTGCTGTAGTGGTCTGCACGCTCGGCGCGTATTCGAGAGAACAGTGGTTCGATTCTCGGCGAGGTCGTTGCTCATTTTTCAAGTCGCCTGCTTCCAAAAAATACTCAACGCAACTAGTCAATTACATTTACCTATGCGACGCAAGGCAGTGCAAGGCGAGCCGCAAGATTTTCCAAGAGAGATTTCTAGCAAGACGTGTCCCAGATGCTAGACGTTTTCAGCGACTACAGGGAGAAAGAAGGTTTTTTTCTAGTTGCAGGAGTGGAATGAGTACAAGAACACCCTCTGTAATGGAGAACTCTTTGCATCGTATGAAAAAGGCCCACAATGAAGTAGTTGGTCATTCTCTCAAGCTATTAATATATTCCATCAGACGATGTGTCGAGAATTCAAGAGGAATGAATGCACCCTCTTCCATGTGGAGTTCAAGAGCTTTTAAATACGGATTACATGTCATGTAGCTCATTTGCCACCTGGCTTTTCCGATTTTTCAGCACATGTGCACTGACGAATGCACATTCCAGGCACAGGAACTGAACCCTATTAAAGCAGATATCAAAAGACGCTTGTGAGTTCAACTTGACGCGGCATCAGCCCATTACGATGTAAATGTACGGAACGCCATGTATCAGGAACGATGAATTGTTCGCGGAGGCCCAGTCAACTAGCCGGCCTGATTTATCATGTCTAGATTTTTTCTTCTCAGATCGCATGGATAGTCCTATCGATTTTGAAGAAGAATTTGTTGGCCGGCTATCTGTTAGCTGCTGAAACCACACCAGAGATGCCTTATATATTCGCTAGTGTATGGTCGTAAATCCATGGATGGCATGAAGCGTTCGTTGTTGTTGGCAGGCTCCATTTCGATAAAGACTTTAATTTTACGTTTTTTAATAAAATCCTTTTTCTTATTTCAGTGGTGTCCTTTTATTCCGTTACTGTCTACTTCCTTCTCATCATTTCATGACACAGGACGTCTTAGCCTCCAGCGCCTTAACGCTTGAGTTCTGACTGTAGGCTGTGTAGTGATATGTGCTTGTCCAGTTTTGTCCTATCAACCGTTAACGTATGTACCATGAGTTTATGAACATCCTATATACATTTTGCTTACTCTGTACTTAGGTACTTTCATCTGTCAATTTTATTTATGTAAATAATTCCTACTGTTTCATAATTACATTCAAATCTTACTAAAACAAAAGTGCTTTATTGTTTTTAATTAAGGTATACATACAATAATACATACTGTAAAAATAAATTTCGTTTTTTCGAAAAAGTATTATTTACTGCCATACATTTCTTTATGCTAATTTTAAAGTATAGGAACAATGAAATGACAGTATACCAATGCCAATTTTTTTAAGCGAATTTGAACATTTATTATTGTTTACTGAACTATAAGCAGTTTTTTAATCCATAATATACAGCATATTTATTATGTTGCACTGTATATGTATAGCATATTTCTACTCGAAAATTTTCTCCAGGTGGACTACATTTGTACTGGTTTGTACCTAGTTTATTGTAACGCAAGTGATTAAACAACCCACTAGATATCAATTAGTTTAGAAGAAGAAATGATACTAGTTGTATGTACCTAATGTTTTGTTATAATTATTTAATTAATTATTCCTTGCTGAGAAATCACAAAATAATTGTGTTCATTCCTTATAAGTACACAATGTTTTAATTCTTTTTTTTAATATAATTAGATCGATGAAATGAAACAGATACTAAAACCTACAGTAAATATTACATGTCTTGGTATGTGATAAAGATATTTTACAAAACGTTTAGCAAAATCTCCGTGTCAAGCGACGAATACTTTGTTATATTTATGAGAACGATTGCTATAAATATCATTTGTAGCAAACAGTTCAGCATCTCTTTTAGAAAATTATTCTCAAGATAAAATAGTTTACTATCATTCTACAAAGTAAATTATCCATTTTATAAAGTTTGTGTTTCTTTAGATACATAAACATTTAAAAAGTCTCTTGAAGAATTATTTTCTAGCCTTTGGGAAACTAAACAGAGATCAGAAGAAGAGTTTATAAGATCCTTTTAATCAAGCATAACATTAACAAACGACCGAACTTGGGTTAAAGAAAGCCAACACCTCTGGCTTAACAGAAATACATAACAAATAATATTTTCAAGGTGTGGCAGGTTAGCCTAAGGGCTCACAAGATATTTTAACGCGGAGGAAGAGCTCTGGTAAGCAGCAACCGGCGAGACAAGCCTAAAGGCGAGAACACATCAACGCCGCTAACGCAAGTTGCTAATAATCACAGCACAGCGTGGCCTGGAATAGGCAGAGACACTCTGAAACTAACTTCCGAAACTCTTGCTTAAATAGCGCTTTATTCTACTTTAATCTAAATGAACTATCGCTAACTCATTTACATTTTGGCATGAAAACCGTAGGTGAAAAGAGAGTAATAGGAAAGGCTTTTCAACATAGAATAAACTATAAGTTAAAAATAAATAGATAAACCTCACAAAGTTTTTTTGCTAATTTACAAATAATCTTTACTTGAGACTGCACGGGTATTGAATATATATTTCTGATTACTTGAATTATTAAACATGATTTCAAGTGGGATATTTATAATTCAAAGATTCTCAGTTATATGTTATAAACAGTATCCGCAATACATTTTCCGAAAGATGTAATATTTATAACAAAAACATAAATTGGTGAAACAAAAACTGAAATCTTTACTGTAAGCACTTTTCATGCTTTTGGTATCTGTATTATAGGTCCACATAACTCATTTAGATAGAATAAAAAACGAAACATACATGTCTAATTAATTGGATATTGGAAGATTCGAGAAAAGCGAAATGGACCTCTAGACACTGTGCCTTCGATTTGAGATTAACAAGCTAGTTGAAGCTCTTAATTAGAAATAAAAGACTCGAAGTTGTGCAACAAAAGCTGAAGGAATAAAGCTAAATAGTCAAAAAACACGAGAAACTTTCTATCTTAAGATAAAACTAAAGCTGCACAAATAATAAGCCAAGAGTTCAGGATAATTTGAAGAAAAGAAATTCAATGATTTCGTGAAATTAAGGACAAACATTTTAAGGCTATATAAGGGGGGAAATATTTATATAATTTTTTTTCTTTTGCTGTGTATTAAAGATTTTTTTAATCTATAAAAATGATTTTAAAATTTCAATTTTATAAAACCAAGATAAGTAATAAGTAGTTTCTTAAAGTCAGTTTAATACCTTTATATCTAACATATCGCACGCAAAAATATCAAATGTATAATTTACGTTTCATTATAGTTCATTGAATCAGCTGCATTTAATCAGTTTTTTGTCTGTATCGAGGGAATTAGATTCCCTCAAAGTCTCAAAAATTTCGATATTACTTTATAGAATTAATACATTTGTGGCCCTACCACAAGACGTTTTGTATGCTGGAAAGCTTTTAGATCTTCAAAATTTATGGCAGATTATCGAATAGCCTTGGCAGTGATAATTTCAGAATGGATAAACGCGTATAGCGTTGCATGAAACGGCTTTCGACATCTGCCGTACGATTATTGAAATATGTACCAAGAGAAGATCAACAAACTTCTAGTATTTAATAGTTGACTTAGTAGTAGTTTCAGTAGTATTTCTTGTTTCAATAGATTTTACAAATTCTAATCAGCACATTTTAAAAATTTACATTTTCTTGTAAATTATTTTGTATGCATTCGAGCTAGATGCATCTGGTCCAACAAACATCAAGCCAGAGCTTTCAATGTAATCATTTCCTATGGTTAGAAATTTTAATTCTTTTAATTCCGAATAAGCATAGAAACTTCAATAGCAGAAGTAAAATTTATGGACATTTAGATATTTTTAAATAAGGAAAAGCACTGGGAAATAATAAATTGAAAGAATTTTCTTAAAAAAAAAAAAAAAAAAAAAAACTGCTGTCAATAGTATGTATATGTCTGCTTTACCAAATGGCTTAAGACTTTTTTTTTATATTCTAATTGTGATTTATTATCTTTACAAAAACATTTCTCTCTCAGTACAGAGTGTCCTATCCCACAATAAGCCCTCAAGTATCCTATTACATCAAATGTAATGAAAGCCGTTGAATACAATGACCACTTCTGTAAGGAAAAGAAATGCCAGACATCATATTAATTTAGAAATGGGCCTAATACAATAAAATTAATTTGTCCCAAAACTTTATTTTATACTTCATTAGTAAATTAAGCAGATGACTGATTTTGCTACCAATTATGATTCTAGTTTTTATTATGTTTATTGCAGAAAAAAAGCAAATTAATGTGTAAACTAGCGGTGCATAATCTAGCATTTATTACTTTTTCTATGATTTATTTCTATCGTTTTCGGTTTTTTGTTTTTTTTTTTTTTTTTTTTTTTTTTTTTTTTTTTATTCTTTTTAACTTAACATTCTAAAACTTTTCCTCTTGAAGTTCAATTCAAAGATATTATATGGAACTTCATGGAAGAAGTTTGGATATTTCTGCAAGCAGTTAGACATAAAAGCAATCCATAATTAGGAAAAGGAATAAATGCATTTTACATTGTGCGACAAAAGAAATCATTTTACAGGCTGAATGAATAAACTTAAATGATTTCACAAATGTTACAATAGCAAAATTCGAGCAAAATGCTTTCTCCCTTCATATAACAAGAACACCTGTAGGCTCAAGAAAATATTCTCCTTGCTCAGAAGAATATTTAAGTAACTCTTGTTATCTTCGTGCTTATTCTACAAGCATTTATAATTTCTTTTTCCTTTAGATATGATTCAGATTCAAGTGAGTCAAAATGCCTTTGATAAACATGAAATAACAAAGGATTTATACGTATATATCAGATATGTAAGTATGAAAAATGTACAATATTTAAAATGTATCTTTTACAGTTTTAGAAGAAATCTACATTTAGAATTACGGATATGTTTCAGTTAAATTTCTTAAAGTTGTATCACATATTTTTTATAATAAAGTTTCAGAATTATTCAACACAAGGATTACCAGACGGTACTCTTATTCCAGTGGATTCTAGTGTTCTAAGGCTTCGTATAATACCGGCGGTTTTATTTTGCACTCTTTCTTTTAGGACATCCAGTTCATGGAATATATCCATAGTCTTTTCTTGCTGCACTTGCGCCGACTCAGGTTTTTTCTCGGTAGGTTTCTTTACAAAGAACTTCGGAACAAGTGGACCCATCCAAAGCCTTTCTCGATCTGTTGGTGCATGCTGCAAAATGTTGTGTTTATTTTGGTACCAGTAAGTGAATGCATACTGAAGTGCAAACATTAGGGCATACGAAACCGGACTTGCGATCATGAAATACGCAAGACTGTCATGGTTTACCGTCAGTGCTTGAGCAAGAATTATAGGAAGTGTCTGAAAGAACAGAAATTTAACTTAAATTTTCGATCCGGATTAATTGACCAAGTAAACATAAAATTTAATCATGCATGTGTAAACTGTTCGTTAATCTTTTGTAAAAGATGTATTAAAAATATAGTCCAAAAAAGATCAGAAAAGAGAAGAGGAGTAACTACTTGAGGGTTACGTTACTTATATTAGAATTGTTTAAATAATTTGAATTTGTAAAGTAAATTTCTTTCACTTTGTTTACCTGATGTTCTTTTCTAGACTATATTTTTCATAAAAAACTTCAATACAGCTTTATAAAAGAAATGAATTAAAGAATAGTTTAATAGTTAAGTACATAAGTTTAAAATGCTGTTATTCGTTATGATTAAAATTAATTTTCTACTCATTTCCAGTTCGAATGCTTAAGTTTCGTTGTCGCAGTTTTAGCAAAAATGTATTAGTATATTAGTTTTTAAAAAGTATGAAATAAATAAGTAAAAGTATTCCTCATTCCTTCTAGCTCACAGAAATCATTACGCGAATATGCATTTGTTAATTTAAAAGTCTGAAAAGAACATGTCCGCAATGTGATCATCATGCGATGATTTGTGGGTGCTTTAATATTTACCACGACGTATTCTACGACGATGTTATAAAACTGCTATGTTTTTGAACCGCTTTATTTAAAAGACGATGTTTTATACCGAGATGTTTTAGAAAACTGCGATGTTTCTTTCTTGTTTCTTTTCTCCTCCCACGACGTTATACGAAGATGTTTTTATCTTGCATTGTTTTATTCGCGACGTTTTCATCTGCGAAATTTTTGCAGCGATGTTTTCGCCTGTGACCCTGCTAGGAAACAAATCTGTATCATTTTGGAGACTAATACATCCAGTTTCCGATTTACTGGAATAATGTAGTACCCATGGTAACGCGAAATCATTTTTTATTCGGGAGCAGTTAAAGCATACGAAAAAGGTGAATAATAATTTATACCTGTCAGCCACACCGTTAATCACAAACATGAGAAGAGTTAAATAAATAACGCAGAGTTCAAGAATTCAGACAAATTGCGAAAGACACTCCTAACAGCAATCGCTTATTCACTTGTTTCAAGAAGTACATAACTGTGAGTATGCCTCATGTAAACATACCTTTTTAATGTGTCTTTATTCCGAAAATGCATTTTTTTATTTATTGAGACTGAAAAAGATAACATCTGTCAGTAAGTTGCATATATATGTTTATTTCGCCCCAAAAATTTACAATTTTTATTTAGGCTGAGGGTGACGCTTTCAAAAGAAGTAGTTTATCGTGCATTGGAATTATGCGAAAAGGGCCTCAAAATTATATTATATATCAATGAAAGCGTTTGAAGTTGCAACGTAAAACGTTGCAATCGAAAACAAAATATGCGATTACAACTGGTTCCATACCAGTGTGTCGTATGTAACAGCACTGCGATGATTATTATCAGACGAGAGAGATGTATGTTCTCTACATTTAATCCAATAATCAAATGAGCGAAGAAGCTGCCCTAAGAAAATTGTGGAAGTAGATTAATGTCTGCTCATTCGTTAGAAAAGCAAGGCTCACAACGTTCTTCAACAATATTGGATATTTGCTAGAAAACGGCTGAACTCCTTCTTGTTCTGATTTCATTATGCAAGAGCAACCACAATCATGACAAAAATCGTCGATCATGTAATAAGATTGATCGACGATTTATTCAGACTGTTAACGAGCGTACAAAATAGGTAAACTTGAAAAGCAGCTTACGCTCATTTCATTGCGAATCATAAATGCGCTAATGTTTGTGAAAATTGTAACCCCATGAAGGAATTATGGAAATTGAACCAAACTTACATGAAATGCAAAGTGAGGTAAAGCATGCAAAAGATTAGAATTACAAAGGGATTGTGCATGCGTGGAATGAGAAACGACCACTTGTTCCATGTATATAAAAGACTGTAAAGTTGGGTTGAAATCTGTTTATCGTCCTCTATTTGCTGTAATTACAAAGCAATTGAGCATGCATGGAATGAGAAATGGCCACTTGTTTCATGTATATAAAGGACTGTAAAGTTACATTGAAATCTGTTTTCGTCCTTTGTTTGCGGTGAACGGTTAATTAGTGGTCAATATACTCATCAACAGTAGAGCCCGCACGCAGCATAATGCTACAACAGTGATGCATGTTTGAAAGAAACGGACAGAGAACCAAATAGGCCGAAATCCTGGCAATGGGGCAAGCAGCAGCACAACGCCATGAGACGACAGTAATCTCATCCGCATGGCTGTAATGTAAAACCTCCTCTCGTATGTTAGTACAAATTTGGAGCAGGGCTACGGGTGTTGTGCTCTAGCTCCACCGTTCGTCGCCGTCTGCTATAGCATGAACTACGTGCAAGGGTTCCTCTATGTAGGGTTCCCCTGTCGCTGAATAACAGACGTCTAGGACTTCAATAGGCACGGCAACACTATGCGTTGTGTGCCCTGTGGTACTAAGTTGTTTTCTCAGATGAAATTTTCCGATTTTCTCCCTACAATCTGGAGTGCAATGATAGAAGTGAACGCGTCAGACGTTACGGAGGGGAACGTCTGCTCCCACAGTATGTTATTACCACAGTTACCGCACAAACTCCTAGTATCATGGTGTGGGGAGATACTGTGTATAATTGTCGATCCCATCTAGTGCAGATTGAGACATTGATGCTACGTAAAAAACGGGTTGGAGCCAGAGGTCCTCCCCATTCTTCGACGCATTCCGGGAGCTGTATTTCAGCATAATAATTCCAGTGCACATATTTCTCAGACTGCACAAACCTTCTTTAGGGTGCAACAGATTTTGCTTCTTCCATGTCCCGCTTATTCCCCGGATATGTCGCCCACTAAACATATTTGGGATTTCACCAGTCGGTGAATCGCTCGTAGAGCTGGTGGGGCATTCAAGTAGACAAAACTTTGGCGTCAAGTCGAAACCATATGAAATGCTATTCCCCAGGATTGCATTTTGAGGCTGTATTATTCAATGCCGTGACTTGTACTGGCTCTCATATCTCAGGGTGGCGGACACATGAAGTAATATTTTCCGAAGTTCGTTTTTTATTTTTCTTGTCAATTTGATCGTTTATTTTTACCACTATCAGTAATATATGAAGCAAATTTCATTCATTTCCAACAATTGCTTTACTGTGTTGCATGTTTCACAGTTATTACTGTACTATTTTGGGGATCCGGAGACGGCTGCTTATGCATAAAATGTTAAAAGACTGTGGAGTTGCTAGGTGCGAAATGAAAAGCAACGAGTCATGGATAGCTGTTATCGTGCAAAATGTACGTAGTTAAAATCTTTGGTTGGATAAAATGCTTTTGATGCTATATTAAAAAAAATTGAAAATATGAAAACTGTTAGAGAAAAAGACAAAAATTTTGCTGTTCTTGTTTTATTGCTATTCATACTCATTATCAACCACTATCATCTTCAACATACTCCCCTCTGGTGTCAGCACACTTTCGCCGTTAGCACTTTTGTACCATCAGTTGGAAATTTATTTTCGATGGCTTAAAACACCTTCGTCTCATTTTCCTGAATTTCCTCTATATAATGTAAACAATTTGCCTTCAAAATTTGTTTAGTTTGAGAAAGACGATCTGCGGACACCAAATCTGACGAATATTTTACTGTGGCCCACAAATTGGAAGTGCGATATTTCATCAGATAAGTAGTAAGAAGGAGCGATGCATGAGTTGGAGCATTGTTATGACGCAACATTCGAAAATGATTCTCCCCTCCTCTTCCTACGCAAACATCACTGATTTCTTTGAATCCTCTAGTAGACTGTCTGCTTACGTCATAAAAATTAACAGAACACTATGAACATGTTGGACTTCTGTTGATGAGCGTCCAGTTCTTAGATATTCGGCAAATTAACTTCTGTTTTCCTTAAAACATTAAAACCAAACATAGCATTGTGTGCGGATTATGGAGTCATCTTTATATCCCTGGATATGTTAGAAATATTTCTGTGAACGGCTTTCCTATTTTTATGTAAAATTCTACAGAGAGGGCTTTATTCCTTTAACTCCTTCATTTTTTATTTTTTACCAATTAGACGAACAGCTAGTGCAGTTGTTTAAGTGCGACTAAGCATTCTATTTGTTTACATTTGAACATTAGCAGAATAGTTAATTCAGTTTCTGCCCCTTCAGTGTCTTTTTACCGAGTGGGACCAAAAATAAACTTTCAATTTTGTGCACCGAAAAATCTGCCTTCTTGCCCACTGTTCGAATTGCTTGTTATTGTGCAGAAACTCTAATTTTAATTATAAAAAAATTAACTATTTTAATTGTATCTGGTGTTTTATGTTTTTCTACATTTTTCAATTTTTAATGAAGATGTTTTGAGTTTCCATGTATCTTTGCCTTGCCGCGAATTGAGAACTGAATTAATTGAATGAAAAGTATATCTCTAAGGAAATTCTAGGAAATAAGTTTAAATGAAACCCAGCTAAAAATATGTATAATTTAATACAAGTCAGTACAAATAAGTCATGTGGTGTCCACATCAGACGTTTTGTGATCACATCAAATGATATTTTTGCCCGTCGAACTAGTAATATAACAGAAGATGTACAGCATCAGCTTTTCGAGAATTTGCGAGACAAATTGCTTCCAGTTAAGCCAAACGAGGCAACAGATAACAATAAAAATGTTCATTTCATTGCTTATATTCAGTTTTTCATATGTCAGCATACAGTCACAGGATAAGAACTACTTTTATGTAAGCAAGTATAATTAAAAGAAACAGCACTCTCATTATTTTCAAATGCAGATGAATATTTTAAACTTACAAGCCTTAAAAAGAACATGTGAAAGTTCTTTTTGTAACGATTTAAATCATTTAGCTGTACTGGCACTGACCGGTAACTGTTCCTTGCTGACGGTAAATGTATTGTTTGTATGAAGTACAATGTACAACGTACGATGTACAATGAATGTTTGCATGATGTATGTTCGAAGTAATTATGTTATATTAATTTGTCATAATCCAACTTTTATTAACCGATTAATTTCTTCGTAATAATTGTATACCTTGTCTTTGTAATTGTATATTCAATACGTAAATCTAAAATTAACGTAAAGAAACTATGTAAATGTCTTGTTAGGCTGGCATCTGATACGTGCCAACCGAACGCCCAGTGGGTATAGTAGTGAAGCGGAGCAATACCTGTTAAAGTCACTGACAAAGTTCTGATACTCCGTCCCCTTTTCTTTGTCTCTGCTGAATGTAACTTAGTAGTAAGTTAAGAGCGGGTTAAGTATCCATCTAAAAAGTCGCCCAAGGTCTCTTCGCTGCTGAGGAAGAAATTTTCACATACATAATGACAAGTGGCCAAATCAAACGGCAATTTAATAATAAATCAATGCTAAATTACTTTGATTTGGTGGGCAGAGATGGATGCTGAAAACAAGAACTATCAATATTTTCAATCTTAGTATTGCGAAGTTAATTATTAAATACATTGTGAAGTACTGACACAATCCAATTTATAGGTATATCATATCAGTATAAATGTTTTTATTATACCAAAATGTATTTGTTTTGCTTTTCTTTCAGTAAACTAATCATTCTTTTAAGAATAGTTTCTTTTCGATATGCTCACACCTCTTATTTAATGTTATCACATCAAATTGGGTAGGGGAGCGGATTACAAGTTGAGATTCGTAAAATACATCATTTCATTGCATAAAAATAAACTGGTACAGTGGTTAGTGAAGCTAGCTGCTTGACCGAGCCCGTTGTGGAAACCCAGAGAAGGTATAAATGTTTGTTATAGGTACGTGTGGTAATGAGTCAAAATACACGGAAAGCCAAAATCCTCAAAAACACGCCAGTGGTGAATTTATAGTTTTCCGCTTACTTCTGTCTCTACCTGCGCACACAACGATTAATACACATATAAAAGCTATACATATAAAGGCTTTCAGGCCTTTGTATGTGAAATACTAATCTGCTTGTAAAGGCTGTAATGATAGGGGAAAAGAAATCTTCTTAAAGAATTTTGTTGGCGTAAGCTGTGAAGCATTTACAAAGTGTAAAAACATCTTCTATCATAAAACCACAAAAGCCAGTGGTACGAATTTTATCAATAATTCCCTCCGAAGACACACTCTTGCCGCTGACACTTGGGAATTTTGGTAATTGAACATGTTAATGCAAAGAATATACGACTCAGTATTCAGAGAGGTCAGATCTATTGAAGAAATTCGTTTCGGTAGTTATATACTCAAACGTTTTTCAAATTACATACCATTTCAGAAAACGATTCTAGAAGAAATACAGCTCCAATAGTTTTGTTGGTAAGATTTATATGTCTGCGTAACCAGTTGATGGTCAGCGGATAAATCGCAGCCGTTCCGAAACCAAGTATAGCATTAGCAAGGTGCAAGTACACTACATTTTCTCTCGATAAGGTTGTGAAAATTAATCCAGCACTCATTTCAAGAAATAAGTCCAGAACGATAAGCTGGATCAGCTGAAATCTAAAATAGAACAAACATTCAAAGGATTATTACATTTTCGAATTTTCGCAGAGAAACATAATAATATTGAAATCTAGCATCAGGACTTTATTGATAAAATAAACATTTAATCTAATTATATGAACACATTCAGCGTAGAAAAAAAAAGGTATACGTAATTCATTAATTTTCCTTCCTGCCCCCTCTCTTCTGTTGAAGTCTGAGCTTTGAACATTATTTGAGAATCATAACGTTTTTTTTTTCCATATGAGAGAACAATACATGATTTTAATTAATAACATTTTCCATAATGTATTTAAATCAGTATGAAACGTTTCTCCAACACATACGGTTGCCTTGCGACGCATAAATTAAATATAAAAAATATGCACTTTTACACTCATACAGTGTCCCTATTTAGCACTGTGTTCAAATGTAAATCATTTACAGTTTGGCCATAATTTCAAAAATATCATGATATTTTTTTGAACATGTTGTCAGATCCATGTCAGATAAAACAGATCTGTTAATAATGCAATGATTTTTAACTGCATCTTGTTTCAGCAATACGGTTATGTACTGAAATGTTTCCAATTAGACTTTCTATTTTAGATAATTGGTTAAGTTTATAAGCTAATGGTATGAAAAGAAATTTGCATCCATTCCGCTGAACATAGTATAGAAAATGAAAAATCGTAACTTTTATTATGCTTACATCCAATTACATCCGCTGCAGGGCAAATATTATTACCTTACATTCGCTTTAATGTTATTGTGAAACATACAAGAACATACACTTTAAGATAAGTATCATCATGCAGCCTTAACATCGGTATGTGCCTCATACCGATCCATATATTACGGTTAGAATATGACTGTCGGCTGTTCCTGAAGTAGGTAAGCCCTCATTCTGAGGTACTGACCTCATTACAGATGGCAAATGTATTTAATTATGATTTTTTTATTTTATAGAACAGAATTAACAGTCCAATTGATGCCATTACTGTTCATGCCGCTACTTGCACATTACAAAACTCGTACACCAGACATTTTCGGTCGATATCCAGACATTTTACAAGCCAGAGAGTCAACATAAAAGTCCATTATTTATCTACATCTCTCGTTTGCAGCCCAAATAGAGAAATATAGTACATTTGTAAATATAGCAGTTAAACGTGTCATCGATTTACAAAAGTAAAAGTCATCCCTTGTACAACATAAGCTATCTGATGACTTACGAACTTTCTTGGCATATTTTCACATCATCACATGCTATGAATTCATTTCAATGCACACATTCTTAGCACAAGAGGGAATTTATTTCCATTTTCAGTTTATTATTATTTTTAATACAATACATTTAAAATCGATCTTAATTACTTGTAAATAAAAACGTAGGGCGTCTATGGTAAATTTAAAATTATAATGGCTCATACATTCGGCAGTGAAATTAAATTAATTGATTTCGTTATTTAGAGGCCTCTTCTCGATATAAGATTATAGATGAATTACATAATTAAAATTATTTAATCTATTATTTCCATTAACCCGTGTGATAAATTATTATTTCCTCTTTTAGTGCATTAATTATCATATCGATTATAAATAAAAGCTTATTGTGTAAAAACGTTTTGTTTTAATTGTATTTTATTTCTTCAAAGTCTCAATCACTCGTTATGAATGATGAAATTTTCAGTCGTTATTAAAGCACAAGTAATACATTATAAGAAAATTATGAAATACAGGAAAGTAACTGAATGTCATTCAGAGAATAACAAAATCTTTCTGAATTTACTGGATGTAATAACAAAAAACATTTTACTTTAAACTAAAATGAAAAAAGAATATCGCCAGATTGTCATTAAATGCGTTAAAGCTGTAAACTTCGTCTTAAATGTGCTAAACTGGCAATTTCGAAACGTTTTCTACTCTGGCCTGTTTTAGACTGAAACACATTTTTAAAAAAATGTAAAAAAATCACTCAATTAATATTTTTACAAGTGTTTTAGTTCTCTCATTGATCATTCTTATTGCTCATTGATCACTTTTATTATCATTGATCATTTTTATTATCATTTTTATATCTCATTGATCATTTTTATTTTGCCGCCCAAACGTTATAGTGGTTAAGGGAGCGTGACTGCGATACCAAAGGGCCCGGGCTCGAATCCAAGAGAAGGCATGAATATAAAATTGTCTATTCCTTCATAGGAGGTAACGGTAGCAGCCTATTAGGTGTCTCTATAATAAAATGGTCACAACGTCTGACCTTAGTAGTGGCCAATGCTGTTATAGGCAAGTGCCCACCATTGGGATAAAAACGTTTTATATTTTATCATTCTTTTCCTGGTAAAGAGAAAAACAAGTTTATTTTATAATCTGTAATAATCTGTAAAAATTTCAAAATTTTATATTCGTTGCATTTACATGTATTGAAAATTTAAAATCACAAACTTGAAATAGTGTAAAAATATAGAGCGGTTTTAATAAGTTAAAAAAATTCAGAAATTACGTTAACAATTTCATACAAGTTTCATTGAAAAGATATTTTTTCGGTGTTCTTTGATAGTGCAGAAAGTAAATATTCTGAGATCTTTAATTTGTTTGTTAAACGAAATTATGTACCATAAATCCTTTAAACATAAAAAACATCTAAATCGAAATTTAGAAACAGCGCTTCACCACATTGCATTGTCATCGACAAAGAGTATATCTACAAAATCTGAACTAGAAAACTTACCTTGATGAAATTAAAAATCGATGACAAAATTTCATCCACAATGAAACTGTAGTGAGTGAACTAAACGAAAACTTATAAAAACCTTCTACATTGGCACATTCTTTTTATTAATTTTGTTCTTTTTAGTTATATTCTTTAAGTATTTTATTTACTGTCGCTTCATTATTGTTAATAAACGAGGTAATTTTTAATCTATAATTAAAATCTATTCATATTTTTAAACTATTTATTTGAGTATTTTTAACTGAAATGAAACCTATGTATTTTGATTTATTAATATGAAAAATAAACTAATTTACTGTATGAAATTAATTCAATATATTTATAAATATAAATGTGCATGAATATATTAAAAATCAACTTTAATTATTTTGATTCCGTTTTACATGCATCAGTTATTATTAAAAAAATATCTACAATTACTAAAATGCGATATTTAAAATTTCTATTGTACAAATACACGGGTAATAAAAAGAAACTTGCATGAATGTATGTAGTGAAAACATTACGTGGAAATGTAAAAAACGTTTCATGTGCCAAATTTTATGTCTATCGTTGTCATTTATAAGACTGCAACATAAACATTACAACTGATCTAATAATTGCAGATTTTTAAGTATGCATAATATCTTAGTACGCATATCTATCTATTTAAAGTTTTTTTCAACAACAAAAAGTATTAGGATCGTAATATACTGTTTTCTTGACCCCAAAACATAATGTATATTAAAAACGATCATATGCTTTTAAAACGTTATTCAGTACTATTGGATTTCTTTTCAACTGATTACATAAAACATTAAACAACAAGAAGGTAATATTAATATTATACATTTAAATATTAAAATTATATTATAAATTATAGAAATAACTTAATTAAAAAAATAAAAATAATCTTGAAATGTTATTTTTATAAATTTTATCTAAAGTATAAAAATAAAAATTATGTATTATAAATTAAATTTTTGTAAATAATAAAATAAATATTATAATAATAATGCGTATTAAGTATAATATTAACTATTAATGTTATTTGTAATTATACTAATATCTAGATTATTGTACATTTTTTTATGGTTAAACAAAAGTCTGAATGCATTTGTTTAGTTAAAGCATGGAGTTAAATCATAGGAAAATTCATGGTACAGAGTTTTGACTGATATTAAATGGCACTCACGCGTTAAACTCAAAACTAGAATGTTAAATACTACCTAAACATCATGATAGCTAAGTGGATTTTAATTTCTTTATTTTTAAAATTAATTACGACGATAAGCAGTTTTCAGAAAGTCTACTTTCTCCGCTTTTTTTTTAAATATATGTTCCAAAAATTTGAAAAATTACGTTTAAAATGAAACTGCCTACTTGCGAGCAATAAAAATTGCAAGTAACCTCCCTGCTGCGTAACATCCCCAGAATACAGAGGTAATATCAGCGGCTTGGAGAGTGGACATTCCATAGCTAGTGTAAGTATAGGTTGCTATCATCTGTGGGTATCCGATGTCTAGAACTCCAATCGTGTATATCAAGGTAGACGTCAGCCCGACAACAGTCATGGTATAGCATTCACTTTTAATCTTTAGGGAAGAGTAGTAATTGTTAGCATCTCACAAATAATCCTCTTAGATATATGCGTTAAACCAAAGCTTAACATCTGATCATTTCATTAAATTGCTGCTTGGTGCTGACTAAAGCCTGAAATGCACAGTTACTAGTTACTTAGATTACTAGTTACTTATATTTTGACTTACTAGTTACTTATATTTTCACAATGTTCAATAGAAATATAGTTACTTTATAGAGTTCTTTGGAAGAATGCCAAATGAATGAACGATTTTTAGAGCATTATATCGAGTACAGAATCAATTCTTTAATTAATTATGATATTTCGTAATTAAAACGTACATTTAGATAATAAAAATTATAACATTACATATTTTATATTAATATTCAGATCATTTAATGTTAAAAAGTATTAAAAGAAGCTTTTTATTTTTTTTCATAAACTATGAGCTTTCATAAAATTCCAAATCAAATCTCAATTAAGACTGGGAGAAAGAGCCAACATGTACAATATAGGAACGAAAAAACATGTTGCCAAATTTTAGAAAAATTGGAAACATTTGAAGGTCAAAGTAAATAACATAAAAGAAAATTCAGTATAATTACAGATTTCAAATAAAAATAAAGAGAACTAAAATGAGAATGGACTTAGGTTAATAATAAAAGCAAAAACTGGATGTTAAATCAATTTTTATCTCCTATTTGAAGAACGCCATGTAAATTTCGTGAGGTGCGAGTGCAAAGGGCTGAAGTTAAAGTAGCAATAAGAGAGATGGGATTTAAATGGTAAGACTTACTGCTTAGTAAAAACTAAAAATAAAAAATAGACTTGTTTAAAACTAGGAAAATAGTAATTTAAATTGTAAAAATGACATAACTTAATGTATTTTATAAACTTGAAATGTGCCTTGCTACTTTGTCTATGAAAAAATATCGAGGAACATAGTGCACGAAGTAGCGTCTTCAAGTACTTGCAAGTCTACTCTGCAAATACTTGAGTTCAAGTACTTGCAGCGTAGACTCAAGAAGAGTTAAAATACCCTTTTATTCGCTCAAAGAAATAATACAGATGGCCCCTTCTCGGGCTTACAGTAAAACCTCCACTCAAGCTGTCTGAATCAGGATAAGAAACTAATATAGTACTAACTAAAATAGATTAAGCTGAAGCTAGTCTCAAATATCTAACGTAGTTGGCCCTTAATTTACACTATTTACCGGCGATTATCAAAAGGCACGTACAATACGGTCGGGCGTAAGAGATTCAAGAACGAAGTAGCCAGAAGGCAAACGTGCGCTACTAAGGATGCCTATGCACTCTCTTTCGAAGTAAGTCCAACTTCCTTTAAACACTAATTCCAACTCATTTGCATTTAACGCGGTTCTAAAAACTCAATCTGGTAGGGAGTTGTTAAGTGGGAAATAAGAACTGAAAGGAAAGTGTTTCAAAATTAAAAATAACTGTTATGAAATTAACAGACACATTACAAACAGTAGAAAATATTTTTGTTTCAGAAAGAAATAAAAGATTTAAAAAGTTGAAAAAAAGCAGATAATAGGAGATATCAATTTTAATATTATGATACTAAATATTAGAACAGGTATAAAAAATTGATAAAAGAAAGAAACTATGTAAGCATCAAATAGTCTTATATATATATATGTATTTCTGCTTCCTATTAAGGTTTTTGGGTCGTTTTCAGACTGGCTAATTTGCAAGGTTTTTTTCCTTTAATATTGATCAATTTTAGGTTTTAAATTATCCTTCGAAAACCACTAACCGTAAAGTAGGTTAGCTTCCTCTTTACTTTTATACCTGAGCTCAGTTAAAGTCAATTGAAATAGTCGAATGTACAAATTCGCTTTGAAAAAGTGTAAGTATCACTTCTACCCCGCTCATTAAAAAAAATACTGAAAAACATTTAATTGTATTTACAAAATCGTTTGTGATAAATGTAACTTAATTAATATTGGATAGACCGAGAACAAACTTAACGTAGGATTAATAACCACCGAGCTCATATTAAAAAAATTTAAAAAATCTACCTCATAAACAACAGAATGATGCCGATAATAATACATTTTTCTTGAGCATTTCATTCATCCATTCAGCATTCTTGAACATTTCACTTGCACGATTTCGAAAAAATTAGTATTTCTATTTTGGAAATATTTTCAACAATAAAGTAGACTTAAAGAAACCATTTACGTATTACAAAATAAAACACTGTACCCATACTGGCTCAATTCTTACATACAGAATAATTTAAGAGATAAAGACAATTTAGTTTATAGTCAGTTTGTAAGATTCTGTGCAAAACGTGAGGTGGAAATAAAAATAAAAGACATTTTTTTTACTTTAGATTAAAAAAATGAATTACCAAATTTCTTAATTTTTTTCAACAGCATTTTTTCACCAACAGTATTACCAAGCTACTCCACACCCTCAAACACAAAATCCTTAAGCAAATTCTATGTCACTTTTAATTTAAATATGAAGGCCTTACTAAAAGCCATTATAACAGACTTTTGTAAATACAAACTGCATAGCAACAAATCTTTTGAAAATAAACATTTCTGTACCATCTACTTGAAGGATCCCGTTTATGACCGATTAAAAATTAATAAGATCATTAAACTACACCAACATCTGTTTCCGGACAAAATTCGCTTTGAAAGTACCAGGTTATCGATATGAAGGAGCACTAAGTAGCTTAATTATTACCCACCATAAGATCGAAGATGCTCCAGATAGCTGAAATTGGAAACTCCTAGAATACCGCCCTTATGTAGAACAGCATCACAAACATATTATTACAGGAAATTTAGAAATTATAGAAATTAGAAATCTTAAGTGAAATGATAATTGTTACTTAAACCTTAATCGGAGGTACTAGTTGGATGACTACGATAAGAAATTTCATGTAAACATGTACAAAGACCTTGTTTCTTTCTCTTTCACTTATTATTTATACTATCTTTCTAATATTTTGTCAATTTAAATAAACTGGCAAATTTTGCTTTTGCTAAAAAAAAAAAAAAAAAATGAGGCTTCTAGTTTTAAAGGCGTACTGTACCCCGATTACGTGAAAAACTTTTATCATTCTTTTATCATTTATAACCTGTATGCTTTCTTTTTCCTCAGCTTTAAGCCAGTTTTGTTTCAAGTTTTAAGATTTTAAAGAGGACAGCATCTTTTAGAAGTTTCTTCGCCGCCATTTTAGAGTGATGATCGCCCTCTTCATGGGTAATAATTTTTACCGACCGCACCCAACGTTTGGCACCCCCGTAGACATTGTTTAACAAAATAGCACATTTTGATCACATCTTAAAATATTTAGTTCTGCTACTGACTTCGAACTTTATCGTATACATTTTCCAAGAAGTAAAAATTTTTGCTTTTCCAGAGTAAACTTGAATTCAGCTTTCTTTTGCAAGGATATATATATAGTATTTATATTTAGTATTTCTTCTTATATATTATATATATACATTATATACATATATATGCGATACTTAATTTTACTAATGCCTTGCATGTAATGCCCCTTTTAGCTGCAAAACATCTTTCCCTTCTCAACTGCAGAGTTTCTTCTAACAGTATCATGAATTTTGTCAAGTTAGAAGAACCATCTACTTCAGGAAAAGATGTAACTGCTAATTCAACATCAATAAGTGTAGAAAATAATAAAATCAATTCTTTTCTTTTCAAATCTGAAGTTACAGATGCAGAAATATTGTGGGCTTTTAAGTGCATCAAAAGCCACTATTCTTTTAAATCGTGCGATGATATTGGGCCGTTATTCACTAAAATGTTCCCGGATAGTTCCATTGCAAAATAGTTTTCATGTGGTGAAAAGAAATGTGCTTATATCTGTTATTTTGGTCTTGGCCCTTATTTTAAAACTTTGTTACTAAAGCATTGTAAAAATGCTGAGTTTTTTACATTACTATTTGATGAGACTCTTAATCTGACAAATCAAAAGAAGCAACTAGATATTTATGTGAGGTACTGGCATCACGAAAATAAGGTCAGAACTCAGTACCTTACTTCTGCATTTATAGGGCATGCAACAAGTGAAATTATTTTATCCAAATTTTATGAATGTGTTGAAAAACTAGACTTGTCAAAACTCTTACAAATATCGATGGATGGTCCTGCAGTAAACTGGAAATTTTATGATTTATTGCAACAGGACTTGACAAAGGAATATAACATTCAATGCTTGACATTAGGGACATGCGGTTTACACATTCTTAACAATGCTTTCAAGCATAGGATGTCATCCACTGGCTGAAAATGTCTCCAAGCAGTTTGAAAAGAGCCATTGAAATATGGGATGACTTGCTACTGTACATTAAAGAAGTTGAAATGGGGAAGTTTAAAAAAAAAAAAAAAAATTCATCGAAATCCTTCTCAAATATTTTGGAGGCAACTAAAGATGAAACATTTCTTATAAAATTAAATTTTTTTTCTCTCTCTGTCGAAAATATTATTGCCTTTCCTTGAATATTATCAAAGTGATAAACCACTTATTCCCTTTTTTGCTGAAGATATCTTAAAACTTGTAAATGATTGCCTTCAGCACTTTAATTCAAAAATAACTAAAGCAGAAAATCTTTATAAATTTAATTTTAATGATCCAAATTGTTATAATGATAAAAGTAAAGTTTATTTGGGATTCATTGCTGAGCAGTTAATGAATGATAAATGCCGCAAGAAGGACATTTCACAAGCTGAAAGTTTTGCATTGAAACAAGAAGGTCAACAATGTGTCTTAACAATGGTACAACACTTAATGTCTAAATGTCCAATAAATTATTCTCTTATTCGAAATGCATCTTGTATAGACCCGCGATTGATGGTTAAAAGTCCAGAAAAAGCCCAGAACAAAATGAAAATAGTTCTAACGGTATTAATGCAGAATAAACGTGTTTTACAAGATGATTGGGATGAAATTCTGCTGCAGCAGTTTGGAGAGTTTCTAGACAAAGTAGTTAAGACAAATTTACATGAATTTTCTTCTACTTTTGATCCTCAAAATCTTTCTCTTGACACATTTCTCACTTCTTATTTTCATGATTTTCACTATTCAAAAGTATGGAAAATAGTGAAAATGATTCTTATCTTGTCACATGGACAGGCCTCTGTGGAAAGGGGCTTCTCTGTAAATAAAGCAATTGAAATTGAAAATTTAAGTGACTCATCATACATTTTTCAACGCACAGTATTTGATTACATAAAATTTTCTGGAGGTGTTCTTAATATCGAAATTAATAAAGAAATGAGATCAGCAGCAGCTTCTGCAAGGTCTAAATATATGCAGTATTTAGAAGAACAAAAATCTTTAACTAAATCTGAAAATTCAAAGAGGAAAAGAAATATCATTGAGGAAGAAATTGATTATATGAAGCAGAAGAAAAAATTTCTTCAAAGGGACATTAAAGATATTAATGAAGAAGTAGATGCTTTAGCAGATGAAGCTGAGACCAGCATGGAACATTGATTTGTTTATCAAAGCAAATGAACTTAGAAGAATAGTTAAAGAAAAGGAAATAGACATAAATAAATTAGATGTTAAAATAGCTGAAAAGATTTCAGATTTAAAAAAAGCACAAATGTTTTGTATCTTTTATTGTACAGTTTATTATTCTAGTATCTTTCAAAAAACCAAGGAAATAAATTGTATGTTTACAAATCAGTTATTTTAATCTGCAAAATATTCTTACATTGTGATTATAATAGTAGTTGACTGTGTTTAAATAAATATCAAATAAGTTAAATAATAATCATGTAAATCTCTAAAATAGTGACTGTTATTAGTGTAAAATACACTTATACATGTTTTTAAAGAAATTATGTTCCTAATTTAATGTTATCTACTTCATAACTTGTAGGGAGTTAGTTTAATTTTCAAAATTGTTTTATGGTAAGTATTAAATTGAATTTAATAATAGTGCATAATACACACTTCTGTTAGTTTTTTAAAGTGAAATTACAAGCATGAAGTCGGTTGTATGGATAATTGCTTTATTCTATTCGTTTTTTTGTTTGCTGATAGGTCCTTAATTTTTTCTTTGATGGTCCTTAAAAGTCCTTAATTTTCATGTTAGGAAATGTGTACGAACCCTGTAAAAATAGTAACTGTTTTTAATATACGGGATCTAACGGGCATCAGTTCAAACTTAATCAGCATCATGCTTTTTTATGTAAACCTGCAATGTGAACATCTCTTATCCAATCACAGACCAAGATATGTTTTGTTCCCACGCTTCTGAATGCGGATTTACTTTTACAATTTGCTTTGCTCTGCTAACACGTTGCCGCTAATTGCTATCTACTGTCCATTGTCTGAAATTGCAAGCTTCCAGAAACTGTATACAAACTATTACGTCCCTCATTATGTATGAATATGAGTATGTGCATCAAGAATTATTTGTCCAGCAATAAATTATGTCTTGCTTTCGGCGACTGGCTGCCCTTAAGTGTCATCTTCATATCTACGCAGAAAGCCTTCTCCAGGTTGTTACATTGCAACCATCAACCACATCCAAGCCACTGAAGCTATCGTCATTTCATCAAGATATTTCAATTATATATATAGGGATCTGTCAATTTTCACATTTGCTTAAATAAAAGAAATAGCTTCATTATACTTATACTTAACTAAAGTATTTGTATTTATTTATTTCTTAAAATTAAGTAAAATCTCTGTTTGTCAGCATATCCATTTGCACAATTTTTTTCTTTAATTTACATCAAAAGAAGGAAATAAACTTCACCCACAAAAAATTATGACGAAAAATTGCATTTTGAATTGAATTCAATTTACCTTGGACTCTCCATTTGCAAATATGTCCCTTACATGAATAGTCACAGAGGTAAACCGGTACATTCCAATCCACATAGCAGATATGCAGAACATCATTAAGCTTAGAACAAAATATGTATAACAGATTTTAAGGAAATCTCTAGAGTCCGCTTCAGAGTTTAAGGTTTTAAAATTTATGAAAGAGAAAGAAACTTGAGAGGAAGTTCCATAAATAACAGGTCCAAGTAATGATCCAACTGCGTAAAAGGTTTGGAGAGTTAGGTAATAAATATTATCACCTCTCCAAATATTAAAGTAGTACACATTCACTCCTAAAATAAAATAAATGAAACTAATAACTTTAGAAGAATGAATAAAGATTTCTCATTACAATTGCTTAAACTTAAATTGAGTGTATAAATTAATATTATATTTAACGAAAGCATACTAATTTTAAATATTGAGTAATTTAAATTTATACTTTGGTTTAGAATAAAATATCTGTGCCAAAATCCAAACGATAAGGTTACATGAAATGCATTAATATAATAGCCATCACAAACTGAGGTTTTCCGTTTATCATGAGGTGGATGACCATTATTATACATGATAAATGGCCGATTATATGGCCAAATTGGAGATTATATTATATGGCCGATGAATTTCCTATCTAAGTTTGTTTTAAGTAAGAAGCTGAACCAAATAAACTATTAATGTACAAATGTTAGTGATATAATCTAGCAAAACATGGCAGAACTCGAAGAAAATTTAAAAGCTATCTTTCTGTACTATTGTCACTATCTAACGTGATCTAAATTTCGGAAAATCAATATTTTATAATGACTTGAGCTGTAATTCATCAGGAATTGCGTTTTACGCATTTTAATATCATGCTATTATAAAATGAATGAAGAAAAGTTATTCAACTGGCGTTGCTTTTCTAAAATGAAAATTTGCGTTAGAGTTAAATTTCTCAGAATATGAAGAAAATAAGCAAGCTGGCTAATAAGATGTAAAAATTATACAGAATGGTGTCTCTTCTCTTGGCTACCACTTGACTAATGATGGCTTCAATGTTATTTTTCTACTAATGCCTTCTATTTCTTTCCTGCACATTTCAATAACTGGCTATTAAAATTACAGATTTATTGTTCTAACTGAATTTCAGAAAATAGTTTTTGTACACAAAAGCATTTGCTAATATACGGGTTTAATTGCGATTTATTTTAAAAACTACAACTAACACTATATTTTAAATTTTACTCACACATCGTATTACACAGATTATCACATCTTAACTAAGCTTGAGGCTAGAAGAAAATTTTCCGAGAAACGAACTTCTCCTACTATTAAACTACCATTGAAGGTTTCCTAGCTGAAACAGTTTCGTTGGAACCAAAGTCCGGGCTAGCTACGCGAAACATAAATTTTCTGCCTCTTATACATATAAGCAAAATGTAAATAAATGAATAACTTTGACTATATATATTTTTACTAAGCACCCACTCAAAGATTACTTTGTTTTTATGTTAAAGTAAGTTTACTGTAGAACCGGTGAGCGGTAAGGACATTTTACTACCTACAAAGTGGACTGTAGGTATAAAAAAAGTTGATTAAGATAAAATAACAGGCCGAACAAGTATTAATTTAGAAGTCAAGCAACAAAAGTCAGCGTTATATATAACGCTGATTAAGCTGTTGCTTGACTTCTAAATTAAAGTTGACTACCTGAATGCAATATTTAAAATGATATATGATTGACAATAATATTCTTACATTTATAAACATTAAACGTATTCTTGGAATTATAGTAAATGCATAGAGAATAAGATCATTTCGTTAGGAAAACAGTTAAAAATGATGTGTGCATGGGCACGTATAGTTTTCATTGTCAATTGTATGGGAGAATAGAATAATATGAAACACACACAGATATACAAAAGTAGAACGAACTTACCCATTGACAAAATGATCATACAGATACCTGAAACAAAGAAAGTGCAGCTCAGAGCAACTAAAGAGCGACAAAAAGGAACAGCAAGAGCAGTCATGGACATAATGAAGAGGAATGGAGACATGAACAGTTTCTTTTTGTTAATAACTTCAAGGTAATGGAAAATGAAGCCGCCTAAAATATTAAGAAGTTTAATGACTAGTAGAAAAGATTTTAACTGCACATGAGGAAGCAGTAATAGTTTAATTGCTTAGTAAATACAGTTTGGCAAGTGATAGGTGACAAGTGATTGAAGCCGAGGATACCCGATGTATAACAGGTTTAAGCAGCGGTAAACGTTTTCCACTATCTGGAGACACTAATATCTCCCCGAGAGCCCTAAGGATGTTGTGTCGTTTAGTGCAGAATGTGTCTGTAAGATATGTAAGTCATTCATATTGTACTGGACTATACACGATTACTGAAGGTGGCGTCTCGTCTTAGTTGAATGATTTTTGAATACGACCCCTTTTTTCAGCTCACCAGTGAACCGGAGCAGTTAGCAATAAAATGGTATTATAATAACTGTTTAAAGTTTTATTTGTTTAGATAACGCAAAATTAAACGTGAAAATAGATTCAATTTATGAGCGTGGAAACTTCTGTATCTTCAAAGTGCTTGCAATATTTTGATGTTCGTATTTTTCGGAAATTGATAATTTCATTGCAACGGAAGAAAGAGAACATGCTTTCCAAATCTGGAGATTATGGTGCTAATGTTGCGTTTAAAGAATGAAAATTGATATTAGAATTTGAAGATTTAAAATAAAAATAAGTAACATGTGGCTCACGAATAGCCATAGTAATCCAGAATAATTACTAAGACTATTCGTGAGCCATAGGTTATTTATTTTTGTCTCATTTTCTGGTTTATTATCTGATAAGCAGTTCTGCTCCCTGGTCTTACAAAATTCATATGCTGTTACAGAAAAAAATGCGTTTTTTGAAGTTATGTAATTCCTTGCATAAATTGGTTTCTTGATGCTTGAACATTTAAAAAATGTGTCGAAAATTTTCAATATTATTTCACTAGAAATACTGATTAAGCTTATGCGTAGAATTAGTTTCATCTTTACTGATGAAGGGAGATTTTCAGAGTACGTATTAGAATAAATTCATTGGTTTAAACACTTTACAGGAATACAAACAAGAGTTTCATTGCATTTCGAAAACTGAAATGAATTTTCGTTACCTGAAAAATTATTCAGATGTTGCCTGTTTGGTAGATGAAAACCCAAATGAAATTGCTTTTTCCGGCTTTAATTTAATGCATTTATTATCATTAATAATAATATTAATAAACAGTGTGGCTGAAATGTATGTGGTACAAATTGATGCAAAAAACTTCTCGAATTACTGAGCGCGACAAGTTGTCTTTTAACAAAAACGAAGCATCGAATACTTTCTCAGCAGATGACTCTTTCGTTGGATAAAAGGCAGTTAAATAGATTCAAGTATGGTGTAGTTAGCAACAGAAATTAACATGGAAAGCCAGAAGTAGATGTAGTCAAGAATGCTTTTGGACTGTGTGAACCTTCGATTAGGTACAAATAAAACAAGATTAATGGAAAAACTGATAAAAAGAAGTTTTCCAGAAAACTGAAAACTGCGTTGGAAAGTTGAAGTCATCTCATTTAGCGAAAGGTACCTCTTCTCGTTCTAATATCATTCAGCGAGAGGTTTCTATAACCTGCTTCTAGACAATTCTCTACATTTTAGAAGGATTAGAAATGCCAGTATCAGCTCCCAAAGGAGCTATGTTCTTTCCTGTGATTAATTTGATTATTTATTTTTCTTGAAAAAGTAAATAACATGTCTTAAACATTTGTAAAACTTAAATTTGTCGTGTGTTGTTTTTATTTATGTTTTTGCTAACGTTCCCTTTAAAGTTCGTCCTACGTAAATAATATTTAGATTATGTTTGATGCTTTCACTTTGTATATGAATAGTTAATTTCGTAAAAAATTCATGTGCAGAACGTATGCTCTCAATTCCCTAAAGACATTATTTTCTTGCGCTTTATTTTGTTCAACTTGGATATGGATCTATGATTTTCTTTCCGTCAAAGACAATTGATTTTAATATGGTATAAAAAAAGAATTCCATTTATATATCATAATATATATATATATATATATATATATATATATATATATATATGAATGGAAATGAATACAATCTTATTGTCAGCCGCGGATGATATTTCAAATTCCTAAAATAATTGAGGAACTTTTCACAGAAGGTTGTCTTCTGTGTTTTATGCTATATCTGCATAATAGTTTAAGAATATCTGAATTTCGTCGTTATACTCATTATATGCATCACTTCAAAAGCTTAAACGAATCGCACATGAAAGGATCCTGCTTATGAACGAATTGTAAGCGAAATAAAATTTGATAATTGTTTATCAGTATTACTCTAAAACGTTTTTAAACCACTCAGAATAAAAATACATACGATTAAAAACTACTATAAGGTATTTTATCCCTCCTTTCCTCATGCTTTCGTGGTGTGATTACAAGTATACTCGTCGCGTATTCGAAATGTCTAGGCTTCGAGTCCCGGCAATGATATTGTAAATTTTGCACGTCTCCTGCTTTAAAATAACCCAATGATTCTACACCACTTTCTAATCGGAAATAGTTGCACTCCCGAAAATATATTTTTAGTTTCTAACTCTACTTAGGACAAAACGCATCCGACAATCAAACTCCATTTTAAATTGGGCCCAGCTGTGGCTAAGCGGTTTAAGGTTGCTGTGGTTTTCAATAGTTCCTGGTAAACATCTTAAACACCTTCTTGGTTATGGGTTCGAACCCAGGCAAACGGATTGGCTGCACCGTGGTGTTTCCTGATTTCCCGTATTCGAAACTTGAATGTTTCTCCTTGGAAGTCCCGCACGAGAGCATTCCCCCTCTTAGGCAAGTAGTCCTCATGTACCTATCTGGACTCAAATAACTAGACCAAATAATCTTAGACTGTTTTTCATATTTCATTGTGTGCCTACAAGTTAGAAAGGAAGCTCAGTGCACCTTAAATACTTCTTTTATAAGAAAAAGTGAACTATTTAAACTCTCAATTCCTTTCTGTTTGTGTTATGAGATATTTCTCGTCTAAAACGGAAATGATTACTTCAAAAATTATAAAGTGAATCTAAAATAAAATGGTGAAATTTGCATGTCACTAATGTCTACATTTTAGGTACATCAAGTGCATTTTAGGTGCATCTTCGTCATTAAAAAAAAGTTCATCATTTGGTTGGTTTATTTGATTTTGGCAAAGTAATTTAAACTACCTAGGAGGAATGCCTTTCTGGATGACTTTCTAAAGGAAATTGGTTCATATATACGTTAGGTATGAGGAAAACCACAAGAAAGCCCTTGCAACCAGCCCGTTCGTCGGGACTCGAGGTAAAAGCCAGAATACTGGTAGTAGTATTCAGCGCTTGGCTAAGAGCCGCTGGTGGGGTGAGGAACATTAGAACGGCAGGTTTCTCTAAAAAATAAAAACGAATGGCCTATTTAATCCCACCACAGAAAGCTCAGAAAACATAAGAAACCTAAAGAGTAATATATCCATGGCTGCACGTGAAATTTTCTACACTTTTACGTAATTCAACAGCGGTTTAGTTTTATAAAAAAAGTAGTTGCAAACATTTAGCTACAAAATCTATAATATAGAAAAATACACAGAAAATAATTGAACATATACTGTAATAACATAAGCAGCACATGAAAATACCAAAGAAGCATATTAGTGCGAAGTTTGTGTTTTCTTACCAATTAAACACCCTGCTACGTAGCCCAATGCTCTGGCAGTAAGAATAAGAGGCATGCTGGTCATTTCTATACCAAGAATGTGTTTGAAATCTATCAGGGTAGGTCCTGGTATAGATCTATATGCACCCTGAAAGTTTATAACTAAGTAAATACTTTTAGACTATTATAAAAGTTTCATCAAAATTCATAATACTATATAATTTTGTAAATTTCGCAATAAGAGGAATTACTATGACTTCTAACACAATTATTAACACATTTTAGGATAGAAAGCTGATATATTACTGAGAATAAAACATTTAGAGCATGGAATTAGGGATTTCAGCATTATGCCGTACTATAGTGATCTCAGCCCCGAAATAATTTTATGCGGCCCGCGATTGCATTTCATTTATGTGTTTGTTGCAAATACGCTGTTAGAAATACTCTAAGATGCTTAATTATTTGAAATTCGAGTTTACATTTTGTTCATTACCATTCAAAACGAACATGAATAATGCACCAAAAGATCTAAAAATTGTGCTAATTAATTCCTAACGAGATGTAAATCTTATACAAAGATTGGATAATTTTTTTCTACTCAAAAAAATAAATAAACTGCGTGACGAATTTTTGCGCTAAGAATAATCGCTTGTTCTTAGCCATTTTTTTCACCGTTGAAAATTAAGAAGAAAATACTCCAATCGCCTAAATTCCGTGATGAAAATAATTTCTTGTAATTTCTCTTCAGGGCTACAGACTTTAGCAAAATTGAAACATCACTGAATGTTAAGCTGTAGTAACGAGTTATTTGTATACAAACATTTGTACTTTTAGTTAGACGTGGAATAATGTGTAATCAATGAAAATGTCTTGTAGTTACAAAAATTTAGATTTGAGATATAAAATAAAATAAAATTTTAACTTTTTCCATTTGCAATACTTTATTATTGCTTATGCATGGTTTTTTTTAAATTTAGTAAGCGAATTTTAAAATACATCTGAAATATTTTTTTAATTTTATTTATAAAAGTTTTTCATTTTGTTAAAAAATTATCTAACCTCTCAGATGTTTTCAGGTCGGGGGTCTGGCCGCACGCAATTTGTATTTGAGATCGCTGCCTTGTATTTAATTAAAACCATTTCCTCCAATTTTTAATATTATTGTAACAAACTTCTCGTTTGACATTCTTAGTTTAGTCTTTCCATTGAGGTTTTTTAAATTAATATACAGCGAAATGCAAAGGAAGTACCTATCGAAGGTCTACAAATGTCTTTCTCTATATTTTGACTAGATCTTCATTAGACGGATTGCTGGTTTTCTAAGTGGAAATTGATTATTAAATGGAAAAGAAGCTATCACTTACGTTATTTGCATTTTATTGTGTTTACATTTCTGTGTCATATTATTTTTAGATTCTCATTGTTTGATTATCAAATTGTGCAATATTTAAAGCTTGAATACAATAAGACATATGCGGCAACAACATCTAAAATGGCTAGAGCTTTTTAGACTGTACATGAATATTGTTATTAATGATCACTTTCACAAAGGCCAAAATCACCTGGATCGCCGTCAATAAGAAGCTTTATAGAATAAAGTAATTATTTATTCTTTAAATTTAACTGAGCCATTAAACCAATAGTTTTATACCTAATAAACTGCCATCGGTATTGGAAAATAAGCAACAGCAAACGAAAATGATACGTTCCAAAACGTTAGTGTATTGCCATCGTTTATTGTGATAATTATCAAGGATAATTAAATTTGAATTATAGCGAGACAATTTTCTAAAAGACACTTTGATTTTAGTTATATTGTGATAATTATCTAAGAAGCAAGCTGAAAAAATACCTAAATTGCATTAAATTGAAAAAAGTTACTAACCAAATTTTAGACGTTCACTTTGCTGTTTTGCCTCTCATCTTATTTCTCCTTCCAGTTCAGAAGCTTGAAGCGATGTCCAGATATACAAGAGTTATTTTCAAAAAGTGCGATTTACAAACTGGATTTAGTGCGATTTAAGATTACTTCATGCTTCAGTGAAACGCTTTTGGGCTTAAAGCTTCTGCTGAGATTTTACCTAATCGTAAAGTATTAACTGTTTGGCAAAGGAATTCTGAATTAGATTTACAGGTACATCAGAATTTCACCATTGGTCATACAGGTATAGTCCCGACGCACTCATTGTGCCATTCCACCCTAATTTCGGGAGAAAACACTTTGAGAAGCATTCATTAAACTGTCATCTCCTAGTACAACCTCTCAAGAGGACTTTCGCTCGTCGTGTATTTTGAGTGTCCCCTTGCTCCACAGACACTATACACTTACAAACATTCATGCTATCTCTGGGATTCGAACCCGGGCCCATCGGTACGACAATCAGCGTCATTACTTTATACCATCTGAGAAATTAGACTTACAAAGAGTATTTTCAGGTATTAATTTGACTGTGCTATATCTGTCAATTTTTTTAACCAGCTATTGCAATTATGTGCAAGATAGCGACATTTTAGTTTGCGTTATACCATATTTTGAATTAAATACCGCTAGTATTAAAAATGTATATTTATAGTTCCACTTACTTAGAGCACTCATGTTCTTGTTCTGCCCGTAACTCGCTCTGACAGTATAACCAATGTAAGCATTAGGCAGAATAAAGCTTGACAATAAGATTTTCAGTTCAGAATTGTAACATATGACAATATTACTAACGTGCAAAAAAATGTATTAACTAGAAAGTATTATGTGTACTTTTTTAACTATCGTATTTGTTAACAAATTAGACACATAAAGCAAAAGAATTCCAATATAGTATATAATCATATAAATAGCATTAGGTTAAATAATTATATAGTTAAAAAGATTTTTTATATAGTAAGCTTCTTTTCAAAATGTATATGATATTTAATGCACTAAAAAGAGGAAAATAATTTATCATACAGTTTAATAGGCATAATGTAATGTAATTCCATAAGTAGAGTAAATATAATTCTACTTACGGAATACATCTACTAATTTACGTCACGAATAATAAAAGCGTGTTGCACGTAAATAGCGAAATCTATTAAGTTATATGCATTTTTATACGTATAAGCCATCATCTTCTTTAAATTTCTAATTGGCGTCCCATGCTTTTATTATCCGCGTTGCAGATGAATTCTGTAAACAGAATTATTTATTCTATTATTTCCATTAAACTATATGTTAACCTATTTTTCTCCTTTCTGTGAACTAATTTTCATATCCATTTTAAATAAAAGCTTATTTTACAAATACCATTTCTTAATTGTGTTTTATTTTTTTTTAAAGTTTTAATCGCATGTTATCAATGATGAATTTTTTACTCATTATTAAAACATGTATAATAAATTATAAAAAAATTATGAAATAAAGAAAAATTACAGAATGTCATTTAAGAATGAAGAAATTGTTTTGAATATTCAATTTCGGAACTTAAATACAATAATAACGTTTCAACGAGCATTTTATTTAAAGCTAAAATGAAAAAACGAATATCGCCATAACCTCAATAAGAGCACTTTAGATGGCAAATTAGAAACATTCTTCTACTTTCATCTGCTGCAGACTGCAAGACGATAAAATATGTAGAGTCAGTTAATGTTATTTTTATTATCCTTGTTTTAAAAGCTTCCAAAACATCTGTTTTATAATTTTGACTATTTCCAATCTTTATATCGCCTATACTTTTTGATAGAGATATTTTAATGTCATAAACATCAAGTAGTTTAAAGAAATCGAGCTAATTTCCTAATTCGACAAAAATTCAGAAACTAAATTGCAATTTTAATACAAGTTTCATTAAAAAAATTAGTTTTTTCTCTCAGTTCGATGGGGCTAACAATAAAATTTGGACATGCTTATTTTCTTTGCTAAATAAAAATATGTATGTAAATGAAAAAATCTAAATCTAATTTTTTTAAAAAAATCGTTTCCCCATACTACATTCTCATCTACAAAGAGAATGGTACAAAATTTGAAATCGATAGCTTATTAGGAGTAAATCATAAATCGATTACAAACTTCCACTCACAGTGAAATGCCATAAGTAAATAAATAAAATCTTATAATAATTGAATTCTTACAACGCAAATATACGTGGATATCAACAGAGCTGTTATAACTACTTTTCTCGCAGTTTCTCTACCACCTTCCTGTTCTTCATTTGCTTCCATTTGTTTAATTGCTAAAAATATACCAAAGGGAAGTTCATAAATTTGAATGTAATAAAGTTATCAAATACGAAATATATTTATGAATTTGTGAATTATAAGTACAGATTATTAAAGTAAGTTCCGTTGGGTATTAAAAATGATCAGCAATTTGTTTTCATTGGTATTTTATTACATAAAAATCTACACACCTTAAACTACTCCGAATATTCATCATTCGAATTAAGGCATGTGTCATATTTTGATATTAATTGTAACACAGCCGCTTCGTAGAATTTGCCCGCCTGTGACCTGAACCAGTTCTGCACGTTTACATTAACCTATCCTCACTTGCAAAGTGCAGGCCGGCAAGAAATTTCCGGCAAGAAATTCCAAGAGAACTTAAGATGGGAAAACAAATTGTAGTCCGATGGAGCTAGATCCGGACTTTAAGAAGGTTGACGGAATTGTTCCCGGCAAAATAAATGAAGCATCCTTGTCGTTGCGCGTGGTACGTGAGTGCTCGTTGTCATACACGAACACAATACTAGAAGTCAGCGGGCACGCCTTTTTTTCTTTCTGTATCGCGCCCCGTAATTCCATCAATGTCTCACAGTAAGCTGTATTTTTCTGCCTCTTCTATCCACTCCGCTAATAGAAGTCCCTGACAGTTCCAAAACACGATGGACATGATTTTTCTTGAAGAAAACGATGAAGCTTCTTTCTTGGTTTCGGAGAAACACTATGTTGCCATTTCAGTGACTGTAGTTTCTTTTCAGGTATCTCGTAATAAATTCACGTGTTTTCGCTTGTGACAATCCTTTTCAAAAAATCTTTTCCTACTGCCGTATAAGGCTTCAAAATCTCCAAGGCCCATGGGTTTCCGTTTTGGACTTCCGTTAGTGTTTCGATATCCATTGGGACCACAGTTTCATGTAATAAAGACCGTGACATATTTCGAAAATGCATTGTTAAACCAGAAATCGTGAAATACATATTGGAACAAACTTTTCTGTCGATGCAGCGTACCCACCTCTTTGGTGACAAACGACGGGCGTTCACGGCGCTCCTCGACGTAAACGTTTTCCCTTCCTTCGTTAAATATCCTGACCCACTTTCGCATCATACCCTCACTCATCGCATTCTCGCTGGCTGGCGATTGATTGTTTTAAACATGACTGCCGACAAATAATGACTTCAACTGTTAACATTGTAAGGTTCATCATAAGTTTTTAACAGTTATCTTTAGTTAGAGCTACTTTGCTGTCCCTCCTATAAGCTTAAAATTTCCTACCAGAATGTGTTTTTAGAATTGCGGTTAATGCAAATAAGTAAAAGTGGTATTTAACTCGATGTTCCACTGACTTCGTTAGAAAGCCTCAAAGTTTCTGAATAGCGCGCGATCGCCTTTTTAGCTACGTCTCTCTCAAACCTCTTACTACGCTCGGCCGGCCATATTTCAGGCCTTTGAAAGCTTGCTACTTTAATCGGTATTTAGACGGTAACTACTTAGAATCTTGATAACCTCAGCTTTATCTTTTAGTTAAGCATTAGTTAAGTTTTATCTCCTATTACTTTGAGTTCAAGCCCAAGTGGAGGCTTTACTGTAAGCTCTGAGAAAAGAGAAAACTGTTAAATTCTTATTTTGAATAATAAAGGGTAATTAATCCTTCTTGAGTTTAACGTCTCTGTTCCCAAACCCAAACGATTATTCGCTTATCTATTCACAAGGTCCCTACACACTTAGCTGTTACATAAAAGAGTGGACACAACATAAAGAAACAAAATGGCTAGGCTAATTTGTTCTCGAGTTGAGTGATGTAACTACGCATGTGCTGTCAGAAGCGCCTGAAATGTGCAGTCAGTACTTACTTTCTGGATTAGCTTTGTACTTTGCTTGACTTAAACTAGTCAACAGGGATTCGAACCAACATTCATATAATTTAAAACATCGTCGTCATAAAAATTATTGGTACCGCTCCTGTTATCCGTACCAGATTCAGAAATGCATGTATGTACGTATGCATTGTATGTGCGTATTTGTGTATGTGTATACACACATGCATTCGTACGTACGTATATGCATGCTTATACGAACACATACATCCATACATGCATGCATACATACATTTCTGAATCCGATCTTAATAATAAAACAGTACTTTATTATTTGGCATCGTTTCTTCTTACCTTGATAATAATAATATTTTGACTCAGCATGTTCAATTGTACATACGTAATTGATAATATTCTCTGTATTGTTACAGATATATCTACTGGTATTAGAAATACAGTAAACTCTCTCTACAACGATACCCGATACAACAATAACTCCCTCTACTACAATAATGTTTTGTGGTCCCGGTGATTTTGCATATAAACTAATGTTAATCTCCCCTCAATATTGCTATATTCTCTAGAACAATAAACCTCTGTAAAACGATTTTTTCAATCTAAATTTCAGTATTATTTTCTCCCTTTATAATAATATTTTGATTTTCAAATGCTTTTTTTTTTTTTTTTTCGTTTTCTTTTGTTATTTTTTCCGTCTATTAAGACTCATTGTGGATATTCAACTTATCCCTGAATAAATAGCTATTGTTCAGATTTCAAAACAGATGAAGACCACCCTTTTGGGAATTGGAGTGGGTGAGGGGGGTGAAGTGTAAATGTATGCCTAGTCTCATTTCCCAGTAAGCTTTGGAATTCTGATAAGGTTTAAGGACATCTAGACCTGTCTGGTCACCTTGTCACAGAACAAGTGCCCTTTGTTAGAGGAACAGGGGGAGATGGAGGCGGGGTGTTGTTAAGTGACGTACTGAAAAGTGAGTTCAAAGGTTGTTTTATAGTCTTTAACGATTTTGAGTTCTACGCGAAACATTTGGTTTAAACTTTTCTTTCTTTCACGCGATATTGTTCCCTAAGATGGCAGGGCGAAAGCAACTATCTTTTCGAGATAAACTGAACGTTATCAATGATATTGATGAGGGAATGAAGCAGATTGATGCGGCTAAGAAACATGGATTATCGCAATCTACAGTTGCAACGTTCCTAAAGAAGAGAAAGCAAATCGAAGATGCTGTAACTTCAAATGAAATTAACCCAGAGCGAAAACGACTGAAAGTTGCGACAAATGAAAACATTGATGCTGCTGTTTTAAAATGGTTTCAAGAGATGAGAGCAACAAATGTCCCAATAAATGGACCTTTATTATGTGCAAAAGCACGGAAATTTGCAGCAATGCTAGGGAACGAAACTTTCAAAGCTAGCAATGGTTGGTTAATGCGTTTTCGAGATCGTCATGGAATAACTTTCCAAGAAGTTCACGGAGAGAAAAAGTCAGCCCCGATAAACGACGCAAATGAATGGCGGCAAAACAAGATGAAAGAAATCTTAGAAAAGTATGCTCCAGAAGACATTTATAATGCAGATGAAGCTGGGCTGTTTTTCCAACTCCTACCCGATCGAACATTGGCATTCAAGGGTGAAAAGTGTTATGGAGGGAAGAAATCAAAGCAGAGACTGACTGTTCTTCTGTGTACAAATAGCACAGGAACGCATAGAATACAACCTCTCGTCATTGGTAAATCATTGAAGCCAAGGTGCTTTAAGAACGTGAAAAGTCTTCCCGTGGAGTATAAAGCAAATAAGAAGGCTTGGATGACGTCTAAATTTTTTTTCCGAATGGTTACAGAAGTTAGACAATGAAATGAAGAAGAGAAAGAAAAAAATCGTTTTGTTGATAGATAACTGCGGTGCTCACACGTCATTTCCAAAGCTACAAAATATCGAAATCGCTTTTTTCCCTGCCAATTGCACTTCAATTTTACAGCCTCTTGATATGGGCATAATTAAGTGCTTCAAAGGATATTACAGAAAACGGTTGGTGGACTCCATACTTGTAAACTTTGAAAATAAAGTAGAAGACCCTTTCAAAGCTGTAAATGTCAAGGAAGCGTGTGACAATATTGCTGGAAGTTGGTGGGAAGTAACAGAAAAAAAACCATTCGGAATTGCTGGAAAAAGGCCGGTCTTTGTGTTATGGAAGATAAGAAATCTGATAATGATGAAAATTCCATAGACAATGATCTCTCAGATGATCAAGAATGTGTATTGCACATCAAAAAATCCGTATCCCAACTTGAGGAAACAAGCGGTAAAAAGTTTGGAATTAGTATAGAAGACTATTTTACAGCAGATGATGATCTTATAGTTTTCGCAGGAGTTACTGATGAAGATATTCTCTCTGAAATTACTGATGAGATAGGAAACAATGATGAAGATGATAATGATATTGATGATGATAATAATACAGGTCCATCGCAGTCCTTATTGTCATCCCAGGAAGCTCTTCAATCTGTGAATTCTCTACGGACATTTTTTTCAAGCCTTCCGTCGACAAATGAAGAACATTTTCGTGCACTAGACTCAATGCATACAGTATTGGTGAACTTAACAGTTAAAAAAATCAATAAACAAACAAAATATTGGATTATTTTCAATAAAAAGTGTTTTCAGGTATGTGAATATTTCTGTGCTTATTTTCTGAATTTATCTTATTTATTTATTTTTTTAATATTTAAACCACTATTATTAGTATTTTACAAATTAATTTCTTCTAAATATAGACTTAAAAGTAGTATGTTATGCATCTTAAACTAATAATAATAAAAAAAAACTCTTATTAAATGCTCAAAATATGTGGGCCCTCGATATAACAATATGCCTCTCTACAACAATATATTTATTTGGTCCCTAAAATATTGTTGTAACGAGGTTTCACTGTATAACCACAGATTAATATAAATCCTTTTACAAGGATGGAAAAAGAACAAGAGTAGAATTCTATGAAAACGTTAAAAGGAAAGTAACTTAAAAGTACTAGATTTATTTACTTTTTAAGTAAAGTTTCCTAATTATTCCTTAGTTATTAAAATATAAAATTAATCATCCATATTAAAGAACAATTACATTTATATTTTATTGAAATTTAACCCTAATTGTTTCGATATATTATAGATCAAAAACTCTGACGATTATGGCCCTACATATTAGAAATTAAAGATTCGTAAACTGCCCCCATGCAGTTCTTTTCATTTTATAGGTTTCAGAGGTTTACTGTGATACACTTTAATTTCAATAAATTACCTAAAAAGTAGATATTCTGGGTATAAAATATTTAGTATTATGGCAGTCTTGCTTTTGAAATCATTAGGCTCACATATCACATGCACCCACAATATACAACACATAGTAAGATATCAAATAACATAAAAAGAAATTACCAGACAAATATGGTAGTATAGAAATTAGCACACGTATAAAATGAACAAATCGAAGGTGTCAGTTTGCTATAGGAAAAGTACCTTCAATATGGAATTTGATCGCCTCTAGAAGCAATACAGCACATACAGCGATGTGTGATGCTTTTAATTATGCGGTTTATTAGTTCCATAAGAAGCGAGAGCCATTGCTCTTCCAAAGCAGTTGCAAGCGCGACAAGGGTTTGAGGGGGCGGATTGAGAGCAGCTAGACGTCTCCCTAAAGCATCCCAAACATTCTCGACAGGATTCAAGTCCGGAGGATCGAGCTGGCCACTTCCATGCGCATAACTTGTTTCCTGTTGAAGATAATCATCTACGATGCGAGCCCTGTGTGGTCTTGTGTTGTCGTCCTGTAACAGGAAAGCATCACCTATTGCCACGGCATATGGGCGCACATAAACATCAAGGATGTCTTCACTATAAATCTGAGCATTCACGGTTCCCCTTGGAAAGACATGGAGGTCTGAGCGTCCACCCAAAGAGATGCCACCCCAAACACAGACACTGCCCATTCCATATGCATCACTTTGACGGATGATTGACGCATGATAACGGGTTCTATGTTCTCTCCATATCAAATAACGCCTACTATCGCTTTCTAGACTAAACCTGGACTCATCCGTAACGAGAACCGCCCTCCATTGATCAGGCGTCCAGTGGACATTTTGTCGTGCCCACTGAAAACGGTCCCTCCTATGACGTGACGTGAGTGGCACACAAATGGCTGGTCGCCTCGCATACAGACCACCTTCGTGAAGCCTTCTACGCACAGTTGACGTTGACATGAACCTTCCGGTGGCTGCAGCAAGGGAGGATCTAAGAAGAGTCGGAGAAGCGGTTCTATTCGTGCGTGCACATAATGTCAAATATCGGTCATGTGGTCGTAGCAGTTGGCCGTCCTTGGCTGAACCTCCTAGATGCCGAATCTGTGGTTTGAAATTGCCTCCAAAGTCTGTGAACCACAGAAGGACTCACATTTAGCCATCTGGCCACTTCTGTTTGACTTTGTCGTGCCTCTAATCTCCCAATGGCTCTCCATCGCAGTTCTGCAGGCTAATGATGGCTGGAGGCCATTGTTACGAATTGCTAACCTCAGATTTCTGATGTCACTGTCACATAGTGAAATATGTGGGCTTGCTCTCAAACATGGACTTTTATGCTCCTCGCAGATGACGTATTCCGAAAGCAGGGCCACTAATTTGCATATCGCAGGTTTACTCAGCTACTCTTACTTGGCAACATATTCAAATTTTACACGGTTTGCCTTATTTTTGAGGGAGTTATCGCTATGTTTGTGATTTTTCCTTAATTTATGATAACCAGTGTATATATATATGTGTGTGTGTGCATATACATAATTTAAAAAAAAATAAATGCTCGTTTATGCAATGATAAATAAATGCTATGTTCGATCATACGATGGGAAGAGACAATCAGGTCTCTCAACACACTTTGGAATGTTCCTGTAACTAATAGAATATGCGAAAAAAGCGAAGCCTAAGAATGAAAGGTTTTATAAGTTTTTTTAAAGTAACGAAATCTTGAGACATTGGGTAATACTTAAAGCAGGAAATAACTATGACTTGAGCCACCGCTTTCACTGTAAAATTATTTTTTTAGAACAGTATAGAACATTAGAGACTGTTTACTGCTTGTTTTACAGTTTGATTTAAATATTTTAGGTAACATTCAATAAATAATGATAATAGAATTTTGCAAGTGAGTCACGTGCTTGTTTTCCTTCTAAACCAGTGGTCGTCAATCCTTAGAACATCACGGACCACTACATATATAATTTTATATTATTATTTTATATTATTATTATATAATAATATGAATTAAAAAACTTAAATTAGACCTTAAAAATAACATATTAATACGCAGAAACAATACTCAACTTTCCAATACATGTAATTCTAATTTTCATTTGTTAATACAATTTTCGAAACATTTGATGTTCAGCAGCATGCCTTTATGTAAATTCAGACTACGCTCCTTATTATGAGTAACCATTAAAACACTATTAACATCTCACTGATACACATATATAGATCACATTGAAATATTTTATGAAAAGTACAAAAATCTTACCTTCTTATGCAGAAAGCTTCACATTTTCATATCACCGAAAAGGAACTTCACGAAAAGCAAGAACAAACCAGCAAACGCAAAGCAATATCAGTAAACTGAAAGTGTCATGCCACCAATTTTTAATTGTTGTAAACATAATAATCATCGCATACTCAGCAATGGCGCCATCCATCAACAGTTAGACAAAATAAAAACGGAAACTTCCAGTGACGCAATTATAAACAAGAATGTAGATGGTTCTCATAAAATCCGTTAAGCTGCCTATTAGCACTGAGAAAAACTGTGTTATTAACGACTACAATAGCATATGTTTGTAATTCAAAAGGAAAGAGAATTCCAGTTCGCGCTATTATTGTTAACAGCAGCATATCTATGGATTCCAACTCTCACTTTCAAATGTCACTAGATACCCTGCAAAAGTAGCTAAAACGTCGATAAATTTAGAAGGAATCTCGCTAAAAGTAATAACTAAAAACAAAAAGTATAATTCATATTCCATAATAAGTTTTGTTACTCGTCATTTTTTAAAACTGAATCTTCATAAAAATATAAATAATGTCCCAATTTTTCTGCGGACCATCAAAATGTTTTCATGGACCACCAGTGGTCTGCCGACGACCGGTTGGCGACCGCTGTTCTAAACGGTGAGATTAAAAGACAGTTTCCCTCAGGTTCGAATGAAAGGAAAGCTTATTTTTTGCTCATAACTATTAAAAGTAGACTAAATTATTAAATGTGAGCGGAAGTACAGAGGAGAATTTTATTTAAAAAATGTCCTCTAATAGAAATTTCAAGGTCTGTTCTGAAATAGCTATCGGAACAGACCTTGAAATTTCTATTAGATATCTATTATATAGTTCTAAATAGCCTCATTAAAAATATTGAATTCGTCTCTTTTATCGACCTCTTGATTATCTTGGATCATCTCTAAAATTTCATCACCCATCAAGAGGTCCAAAACCGACGCTATTGACAACTTCGGCTCTAAAGTAACTTTCGGAATACCATACAGTTCTCACTAAATATGTATATCTAAAGGTTTCTGTTTGCAAAAATAACATCCAACAGCAAAACAAGTCGAACTTTCCGTTTCCTGTTATTACTGTAATAAAGATGGAAATTTTATATTTAATGAGACCACTTTTTAAATTTTGTTAAGATATATAGACGGATTTTATGTAAAACTCGGATAATTTTTCTGCAGTTTCTTGTTTTAATGCGGCGATTTATTTATCATTTAAATTAGCATATTTTTGTGCTATGCATTTTATCCGTGAATAATAAATTTTGAGTAACATGTGAAACGTATTGAACAAATATTAAAAATGTGCTAAAAGCAAAACTAACCTGAGATCAGTTTTCAAATGACTAAACTTTAGGTATTATCACTGATATAAACAAAATTCGTTATGTTCAATTTAAAGCAGTGGAAATACTTTTATGAATGAAAATGTATATCTTTTAAAATACATCACTCCTGTTGTTAAGCGTCATGAAATTACTCAACTTACTTATATTTATCAAGCTCTGATAATATTATCGTGTAATATTCAAAACAATTCATTCTGAAAGGTGGAAAAAATTCCTTGATTCATTCACACATTCCCTCAATATACGGAAAATACTAGCTTTGTAAATATGTATAAATCTTTGCTTAGTTTGCAGTGAAAATATAAAAACAAGAGAGTTTAGATGTTTAGTCTACTTATATTCGTTTCGTAGTTTCAGGATGCTAAGTTTGAAAAAGGGACGGAATTTATTCCTTAATGCTATCTTTAACACCAGACGTGTAAACTCAAATAAACGTTAATTTTTATATATTTTGTATAAACCGATTTCCTCATAAATATATTTCAGTTACTTCTGACAATTTGGGCAAACTAGAATTATAACTGTAACTGAATGTTATCATGTCATTTTCTTAAACCAAAAGAATTTCTCAACTAATATTTAGACTATAAAAATTGAAAATAAACAAGAATTTAAAGTAGTTACTAATCGCATGCATACAGAAAACATACAGAAGCAAAGAAAAATAAGCCTTTTGCAAGTATTTATTTTTGAAAATTCGTGTTGCATAAAATATTTTATTTTCCTTGTATCTTGGCAACAACAGTGGACCTATGAATTTCATTTCTAAAGAAGACATACTAGTGTAGCTGTTTATCAGCGGTATAGGGAAAGTGATTTTAATTTTCTGATTATTTATCTTTCAGTCTTTAAATTTAAAAGTCTTATATAATACTGAGCATTAGAAAGCTAATTCTGTAACAAGTAGCTTTATGGCAATAAAAGTATCCTTGTTACCATAAAGTTACAAGTTACAAAACAATTACTTACTTATCATTAGTACATTTACCAATCACATTGATCTATACGGTATGTTATTAAAATTGTATATATTATTATAATTAAGCAAAACAAAATGGTTTAGCTTTTATTTTCTACTTTGAAAATCCGTAAGTTTCCAAATCAGCAAAGTAATGCAACTTCTTTCAAACATTAAATCATCTATTTACTTATATTAGTGGGATTAACATCAGTGGCTCTATACTGTGGCCTCAAAATCTGATTAACACAATATTCCTCAATGATCCTATTCATACAGATGATGAGGTTAAAGAAAACTCGAAAATTACTGAACTGTTAAATTGTTATAACATTGCTTTATTTAACAGAAAACCAAAATAGGTTTTTTTGTGCCAAAACCAGTTTCATTTAGAATTTTGTGGGGCTGTTATAAATCATTGTGTGTGTAAAATGTATGTTTTAGTTGAATCTTAACATTTTTAACAAAATATTCTATCCTCTAAGCCTTTCTAAATTCATTATAACACACAACTCCTGTTAATTAAGATACAGTAATACGTCAAACAAATTTTAATTTAGAAGTCAAACAACAAAAATCAGCGTTATATTTTCAAATTTTCACAGGACTAGTTTCGATGGTTTTACCGAACCATCATCCTCAGCTGTAAAGGCGCAAATGAACGAGATAAGATATAATAATTAAATAAGATAAGAAAGCCTGGAAAGGATTCAAGCTACTGGCGTCATCTGTTGATGAAACCAGAAACTAGAACATAATTTCTTTAAAGGCTGAAGGCAAAGATGGATTGAAATTAGGGTCGTTATCTAGAACAGAAAGATTTTCTTGAATGTGAAATGCCTCTAGAAAATCCATTTCATCAATGGAAGATGTTTCTTGAATAATTTTGGCAGCAGAAAAATTGAAAATGTCGTTTTCGGACCAACAATGCTAGGCAACAGAAGACCTCTGTGTTTCCTTTTTTCTATCATATGCCTCATGTTCCTTGAGGTGAAATTTTAAGGTTCTCCTAGTTTGGCCAAAGTAAATTAAACCACACTGGCAAGGAATCCTGTACATACCCCAGGAATTCATATTCGGAATGGGATCCTTGAGTATGGAACTCGGAATTTTATTGATGGGAGAATAAATGACCCGAAAGTTAAATTTCAGTAAAATACGTGCAACTTTTATAGCTGATTGATGGAAAAGGACAACATAATTTTTATAATCTCCTAAAACAATTCCTAATTCATATCCAAAATTCACTACCCTTGAACAAAAGTCTTGGTCTAAAACGGAGAATGTAGTTAACCGTCATAAAAACACCCTTGCAGTTAAATTCGAGAAACTTCTTTCACAGTCTTCGAGTTCAAGTAGTTTAAAAAATCTTTCCATTGTAAACATTAAGCCAATAGTTAATATTTCTATAGTGTTAGTTTATCGGAAGAACAAGAGAGAATTCTAAAATATAATTTTAACTTTCTCACAAATCTCTAAACCCTCGATTCAAAAGATTTTGGCTCCTATTGAAAAGGCTTTCAAGTTCACTAAAGTTTCAGATTCACAGAAAGAAATGATTAGGCATCTTATCGCTCATAATGTGAAATTCAATAATAAAACTTTGAAACCAAATCTAACAACGAGAGAAAGAACTACAATGCGCGAAATTCATTCTAACCCGGACATTATCATTTCAAAGGCCGACAGAGGTGGCCAGATAGTCGTCATGGATAAGAACATTTACATTGATGGTGTCACTAAACTCTTAACTTCTTTTGTTTTGTTTTTCCACTACTACTACAAAAATCTTCTCGTTGATTTTATCTTGCAACGAACCGAAACTACACATTTAACCAATGATTTCTTTTCAAACAGAAAACTGTAGTGCTTTCTTGCATAATACATTGTTACGAATTATGTATTTAGATAGCTAGTGCTAGTAGATATAATTAAAATTGTTTTATTTTTCCGTGCCATGCAGAACGAGACATATTTTAAGAGAACGTTACCCCAGAAAAGTAAAAATAGAGGCGAACGCGTTTTTAATATTTAACATATACACGCAGATATCTCGTAATTTATATTTAAATTGAATAAATGTAGTTGTCTACCGTGTTAGCTGTAACCGTAATTCTACTATTTTATATTGCTTTCCAGAAATCTCGAGAAACAATGAAATTACTAGAATACTTTCGCGACAGATTGAAAGCTTTGAAAGGCCGGAGAGAAACATATCAGATCAGTTGTTTAGTTAGATACTGTTGTTATTTTTTGCGAATTCGGGGTGAGATCGGATTGGCTTTCTCTTTGCATTGTATTGCATTTTAATGTTTTTAGTAATTTACAGTATAGCTGCTGATTATATTGTGTGATATTGTACGAATATCTCTGAGTAAAATTCCAGCGCTTTGTTATATTTCTTGAGATAAGAAAAAAAATTTATCAATCTTTTATCGGACTTGTGCTATCAATCTATTACCAACCCGTACACATGCAACACTTTTGGTGTCAATAACAAGAGCGATGGAAAAACAATTAAGAAATTTTATGGAATGCAGCATTTGCTGCATTCTAAGGAAAGATGGAAGAAGCCGTCATTCGTTAAAGAAGAGATGAATGCGGGACACGAATTGTTTTAAAGAAGAAATGACTGCGGGCCAAAAAGATTTGAAAGCTGATCAAGTATACGTAAATGGGGAGATGAAAGCTGTTAAAGAGGAAATGAAAGTAGAAATTACCAGCGTTATAGAAAACAAATTTAAGGCTATGGAAAGCAGAATAGACGCTATTGAAATCAGAGTTGGATGCATTGAAGAAAAGAGTCTCTTCATTGAAAGAACAAATAAAGGAAGAGTTTCTGCTATTCAACAACAAATTGATGGCATGGTTTCTGCAGCTGTCAAAGAAGTTGATACTGTAAAGAAATTCGTAGTGACGGCAGCGAGCAATTCTGTTGGTTTTAAATTTATGCCCATGACTGCTCGTCTCTCACTGAAGCTATCCACGTATGATGAGAAGACTTCCTGACATGTATATAAGACACAATTTTCTATAGTGGCGGATGCAAGTGGATGGGATTACCAAGCTAAGGCCTATCATCTCGCCGCTTCTCTAAGAGCAGACTTTGCTGATATTCTTCAAACTCTTCCAGAAAACCAGAGACTGGACTTCGAAGCTCTATCCGGCGAGTTGGAGCTGCACTTTGGCGAGAAGTGTTTAAAAGACTATAGCAGGCTTCAATAAAAATCCCGTCAACAGAAGCCAACGGAAACGCTCCAGGAACTTGCCACCGATTTAGAAAGGCTACCTCATCTTGCCTTTTCGAAATGCCCAGCAAAAACAAGGGAAATTCTGTCCCTGCCGTATTTTATCGATGGCATCCGGGATCCCGAAATACAAAAAGCTCTGAGAATGACGGGCTTACAGGATTTAAAAAGGGCTCTAGTGTACGCCATGAAATTCGAGGCAACTCAGCAAGCAACATGTAGAGATCGCCACCCAATCAGAACTGCTGAAATCCACGAGCCAGTGGTTCAAGTGATGGATCGTTTAGATGATTTATCCAGACAAGTCAATGCTTTGATACGGAGTAAAAGATAGAACAAAATGACTCTGAAATGCTGGAAATGCGGTTCTAAAGGCCACATATGACGGGACTGCAGAACACACCAGGACACTGAAAATAAGACAGATGATATAACCAGACACGTAGGTGCATTGAGACGGAGTAGAAGTGACAAGAAACATACTCTATAGTGCTGAAACTGCGGTGTTGAAGGCCATATACGAAGAAACTGTAGAACACTCCATTCCACGGAAAATAAGACCATTTCCCACCAACGATGCAGTAAATAAATTAATGTTCATCCCGCGGAGCTGAGTTGTAACGATAATGAAAAACCCCATTTTAAAGCGCTCAAGATTTCTGCAGTGAGTGGCACCAGTGATTCATCAATGCACATATCGATGCAGTCCCTTGCAATATACCCACCGACACATGAGCCAATGTTACAATCATTCGGAAAGATTTAACTAAACAATTTAAAGATAAACTCATTTGGACGCCGTCTTGCGTTACCCTCCAGACTGTATCTTGCAAGAAGATCGACATCGAAGGAAAAGTAAACGTTAGCATCACGTTTGGAAGTGCTGCCTACCATCACACGGCATGATGTGACAGAGATTAAAGATCCTTTCATACTCGGATTGAGTTTTCAAAAAAAAAAAAAAAACCTTTTTCCTTAGACTTTAAAAACAACAAACTGTTTTCAGCAGCTGAGTACATAACTATCCATCATCAGAAGGG